GCCTTGGAGTTCCCCCGGAGGAGCTGGAAGAAGTGGCTGGGGAGAGGGAGGTCTGGGCCTCCCTTCTGAAGCTGCTGCCCCCGAGACCCGACCCCGGATAGGCGGAAGAAAATGGATAGATGGATGGATGGAACTTTCTGAGATAGTYTTATTTGTGACAGAAGTTTCAGGCTGATTAGTCTCATTGTCATACCTGTGGCGTCTGGCACCGAGATGCTGGCAGCAGACCTGCTGCGTCCTGTGGGTTGCAGGCAGCATCTCTGTGGATCTGGTTCATCCTGTGGATGTTGGCTCAACCTGTGTTGTGGGGGGCGTTAGATAAACACCCTGGACACTGTATCATCCTCCCCAAGCTGTTTCTGAGCAGATTTATAAGAACAATTTCATACTTTCTCCTGCTGGGGAGGACTGCAGGTCTGCRGTATGTTTAGGTTTGTGTTAAATGTTGAAGTAACTTCCTCGTCGATGCCTGAACGTGGTGCATTGCTTTTTAAATAAGGTAATCAATGCAGACACTTCACCTGTCAGTAGTTTTAATATTCTGGCCGGTCTATCTATATGTCTACAGCTGGTGTGCTAGTTCAAAACCTAAAAAAAGTTCTTGTGATATTTTGGCAGAAAAGCACCTTTCTATAGTCCATTTATTCTGCAGCAGCCATTCTGCAGGTCATTCTCACACATCCTCTAACTGCTATCTTGTGAGATCTTACAATATTTAATGAGATGGCTAAACTTGCTACGACAGCATTCCTTCTCAGTCTAAGATGACTTTAGCTTGAAATTCTGACATAAAAGGCAGAAGACGATTTGTTTCCAATATCTAATAATGAAAATATAAAGCTAAAGAAACATAAAAAACACTAACAGAAGGAGAAGTGGTGGTGCGTGTTGCTAAACCCTGTAATCTCCTGAGGCAAACCTCAGCAGCCTCCTCATTGTGCCGTGGGAAGATAATGCACACTCCCCCATGCATATTGCTGTAATCTAGCACTTTGTGCCTGCATTTAGCACCCTTGCTATGTAACAACTATTATTTGCAATCCTTTTGTATGGTGGGCTTGCAATATCAGGAAGCTGCTGCAGAACCCTTATTGCCTTCTTGGGCTATAGATTTAAGCATGGCTAAGCCTTGATTTAAAATAATTTCATGTTTCCTTCCATCAACTTTTAGTCCTGCTGCTATTATCAGAGCAGTTGTGGTGACACATAATTCAGAGAACAGCAGACATTGTTTTCTTTTTTCCTTTTAGATGGAAACACTGTTTGTCTACAACAAAAAATATGCATCCAAGCCTCCAGAACTGCTGCTAATATATCATTTATCATCTAGACGACATCTTGATAAACAAAAATAAATTGTAAGAAAATATTTCTGTATGTCCTTTCAAAATATAAATTAAATAAGACCAGTAAAATTACATTGTCTGAGCAACAATTGTCTGACCCCTCTCCCCTCTTGCACTGTTTTGCAGAGTAGTTTTTTGAGCACGTTTGTGTGTTTTCTGCATAAAACACAGGATCAAAGCTTTTTTTAACTCACCCTTCCTATTGTGTGTGCATAACTGCAAAGGTGGCGCACTAAGTTGCGAAGGACCCTGGACTTTCGTTCCCCATGTTTGTCATGTGTGTGTGTGTTTCTCCAGACGGATATTCTAAACTGCATTTCGTTCTGCACTGCATCTTGATGTTGTGTGTGAATGACAATAAAACACTTCTGATTCTGAATAAGTGTAGAATTTTGTTGGTGAGGCTAAAACTGAGTTGTTAAAGCTAAAAGGAGCAGAACACTAAAACTAAAGCTAGCAAAATACTAGCTAAAAATTAAATGTAGCAAAAGCCATTGAGGACTTATAGCAAAAATCTAGCTTAAAACTTAATGTTGCAAAGCAATAGCTAGAAACCAAAAGCAAAAGCTGTAGGTAGCAAAGGACTATCTAAAAAAGCGGAAGCTTTTTTTTTGGCTAAAAAAGAAAGAAAAAAACGGAAGCTGAGAGCTGCCGTTTTCTGCACATAATTATTTTCCATGGTTTTCTCATGATAACAACATATTATGTCATTATCACAAAATAACTAGGAGGGTTTTCTCGAGATAAGTTAATTTGCCGATGGTTTTCCTCTTGTGCATCATTCAGTAACCAAGGAGTTGGCCTAGTCTCCAGCTTATCATCGATGGAGTTTACTATTATTTATTTATTTATTTACCATTATTTAACCAGGCAAATGTAGTGTGCACAACATTATCATTTTTGTATCATTACACAGGCTGAAATTGCGATTTATCTCGATAACAGTCCTCGAGCAAACCATGGRAAACAAAGTATATGCAGTACACGACCGCTCTCTTCCATACTAAAAGCTTAGTTTCTCAAGAAGACAAAAATAGAGCAAGTAAGATGAAGTACATTTCAAGGAGATAAATTGTTTTTTAACAAAAGTAAAGACGTATTTATGAGGAAACCATTTTTAAAATAAAGTTAAATATTTAGAAAGTATAAAGTAAAAAGAATGAACACGTGGTAGCCGTCCCCTGTATGGACTAAACATTTGTTGTACGAAGAGTAGAAATAGAACAAAGTTTGCAAGACCTTACTAATTTCCAAAAATGTAGTGAAAACAAACAAACAATAAAACAACAGGAAAAAAACAGTATGAACAGTGATTTCGTATTCACACAATAAAGGCCACACCACATGATTTCTCTGATTCACAAAAGCCTGAAAGTGAACGCTGAAGTTTGGAAACATTTTAATAGAAATAATAAATTTTGTATCAAAAAATTAAACATGCTTCACACACTTCATTAGTTGTCATGAGGTTTTACAAATACATCATCAGATAGCCAGGCACTGTATCTTTTTTTGTACATTTTTCCTCAATTTTAGGAAATGTCAGGACAAAAAGCAGACATCATCACTCTATTTAAGAACGTACATTAACTTGCCATTTAATTTGGTCAGCACTCACGTTTTATTCGGCAACACAAATGGTGTTGAAAGTAATATGGGGCTGGGGGGGTGCATGAAAAGCAGCACTGATGTCACAACACAGATGACCCCACATCATTTTTTTTTTCTTTTTACCTCGGGACATCTGAGGGCTTTTATGCTGCAGGAAGCCAAACGTTAATCTGTTCAGCAAGCACAGGTTGATTGATAGAGATATAGTATTTTGCAATTAGATGTTCATTTGTTGAAGAGCTTTACAACTTCTCTACACCTCCTCCTTATCACAGAAGTGCCTGAAGAGGACGCGTATAGTAATGAATTTTCTCTATAGATGGGCCATTACGGATATCACCCTCAGGACGAGCTGCACGATCCTCTCAAGGGTGTTCTTCATCTTAATTCCCCCCCTGCTAATAGATCTGTACAGCCGAGCTTCAACCCTACATTTTGCTTGTGTGACCAAGAGAACAGCTGATGGCAGTGATGAGAGGGTCATCTTGGATGACGGCTCACAGTGACATCTCCTGGCTAAAACACGGTTCCGTCCAACCACGAGCCACTGCTTCCGAGTACAGGTATGATTAGGGCAGTGGCAGCCTTTGGCTAGCTCTTAATATGAATTATGATCTCACTTAAGCACAGAGAAACAATCACTCACTAGACCTTCACCAACTGAGAACAAATTTTTTACGTACAATAGGCTCGAGCCTAAACAATTGTTAACAACGCTGCAACAGAGTTTTAAACGCATTCCAATATTTTTTTCAGGGTTTTTTTTTTTTTTTTTTGGTAAACAACACAACACAGGATGTTGAAACTGGCATGCTGAAAATTGGCAAAGATCCTCTTATATAAGTGCGGTGGTTCTCAGCTCAGCAGGGCCCTGAAAGAGGACAGAATAAACATGTTTATGTTTGTTGCATTGTTGAGATGATTCCCCGTTTCCAGTCGTCTGACTCGCGGAACCGGAATGCACCGAGAAACAAAAACAAACGCAAGCCCCTCGTAGAAATCCAGGTTTTCATGCCTTTTAGGAGTTGATTAATCCTTTGTGGAGTTGATTAATCCTTTGTGATGCCTTTTTAAGTATCTTAAGATGACATTAAAAATGCCTGAACGTATTCTCGACGTGGGTTCAGTTCCACTCAGTCGTGCTCAAGATCTCTGCAGTCTTTTAGACATGACAYTTCAGCTGGAATGTAAACACTCCAACAAAAGAAGATCCATCCTTCAGTCTCCAGGCCTCCTCCATGCAAGGATTTTTCTTTTTTCTTTTTTTCCTGCGTATTTTTGTTGGTTGACAGAAGATGGAATCTTTAAAATTGTACAGTTATCTGTTCTGCTCGCTTCTTTTCGTCCATCTCCGCCCCCCTTTGTGGTTTCTCCTCAGCGTGTCACGTCTTTGGGCAATTCTTCTGTGATATCCACCCACACAATGAGAAATGTTTTTTTAAGCTGTGTGAAATTCCACTTCATGTTTTTTATTTATTTATTTTTTCCTGTCGCTCGCTCTCAGCAGAGGTGGAAATCCTGAATTGTGACAAAAAAACCTTTGTCCCTTAAATTGCGTGGTTGCTGTAGCTGATGTAGGTTTGCTTTGTCGAGAAAGCTGAAAGAAAAGAAAAGAAATGAGAGAAGGAAGTGAGACTAAAGCACACAGGTTAAAGAGAACATATGATTATGTTTTGATTTTGTTATTCCTGTTGTTGTGTGTAATTTTTTTCAGCAAATGCATTTTAATAAATCTGTCACAAAGTAGTCACTAGATGAATATCTACAACTTCATGAGTTCTGGATTTACCACAAATCGAGATGGCCACCACAGCCAATCAGCTTTGTACGTTTGACACATGGGAGGTGATGTCGCTCCATCTCCATTCATTTTCTATGAAACTTGTGCCAGGAGGCAACAATTGGTTGCCCTCCTCCAGCCGAGCGACCGGCAAAATTTGTCCATGCGAAATTTCCGAGCTCATACACAAAAACGTTCACATGCAGGCTTGCGACATGAGAAAATGTTCAACTTTTGTCACTGTTGCTTTGTGCTACGACCACTTAGCAGAGTTTTCATTGACTGACCGATAAGTGGAGAGTTTGCTACACACTGCAGTCAGCAACCACTTTCCACATGGAGGAAAAAATTATTTTAGCTTTGCTGACTATCTTATTTTATAGGACACTTCACAAAATTACCAAGATACACATAAAAGGCAGCAGTATGGGAACTTGAAGTTGTGTCTTAAAGTTTTTTTGTAAATTAGTCAAAATTATCATTAGTGTTGCATAATTCATTTAGTTTTTACATACCCTACTGTTTATAATGGTACCGTACCTACAAGGAGAACCAATCAAAGTTTGTGGAGACAAGAGTCCCATGAGTGTGATTCTAACACTGCCATCAGTGTCGTGTACTCGTGTGTTGGGTTTCACCCTGGTGGTGATGACTGCCTCCTGTCGCTGTCTTTTATTGCTCCCCATGTGTCTAAGCTACAGAGCTGGCGAGGTGACATGGGAGATTTTTTTTTCTTTTGAGTTCCCACGCAATAGTATTGCGTTACCTCGCAATACCTTTTGCGTTCCCTCACAAAAGTAGTTTATCACCGTTGTGCCTGCTGGTTTATTAACAAACTCACATGTTCACCATTAGCGAGTTAGCCTACTGCTTTAATTCAGCTTCAGAATGAACATATCACACAGCCACGCAAGGAAGTATGTCATATACCGATATTTTAACACAGTGCAGCCACACAACATCAATGTCAGTTTCACAAATTTGTGGCGAAACATCCTGTTTAGGTAACCGGATATTTCAAAATAAAAGTCTGATTCAATTCAGTCCATGTACAAAACAACCTTTTGCAAGGTAACGCAAAAGTATTATGAGGTAACGCAAAACTATTGCGAGGTAACACAACAGTATTGTCTGGGAGTGCAAAAGAAAAAAATCCCCCATGTCCCCTTGCGGGCTCCGTACTAAGCCAATACACAAGACAAAAAGGACTATAACAAAGTTAATGATAATATACTGTAGGTTGATCTTAGGTTAAAACCTTGGCATGAATAGTATGTGTGATATATATATATATAT